GACACGTATCTCTCTACTTCTGCCATGTTTAAATATCTCCATCCTTTCTAGTGAGTCCATTTCTCCGTTTTTTTTCAGGGAAAAGTATAAGACAGCTCAGTGTAGGAAGTTGCATGTACATTCAACGCTTTCCTAATTTCCTTAGGCTGGGCGTGGTCAGGGTAGATTTAGGCCTTTTGGCACCTGCTTTGTCATCCTGGAATGCCTGCCGGGCGTCTTTTCCCCTCCACGGTCTTTGGGTGGTGATCCTACGGACCTCATAGCTGCAGAAGAGGAGTTGTTCATCCCAGCCCGCTGCTCGGTAGTGCAGGTCCCCAACTTGCCATTCTGACCTCTGCCTTTTTCCTGCTAGATTCTTCTGGCCAACTTTCTTGCTCAAACAGAGGCGTTAATGAAAGGGAAGACGACAGAGGAGGCCCGCAAGGAGTTACAGGCGGCTGGACTGAGCGGAGAGACTCTGGAGAAGCTGCTTCCACATAAGGTACTTCGAGTCCAGGGGGAATCCACTTACCATCCCTTCCTTTCGGCTCACTGATTTGATCAATGAACGATGGATGGGATGGTCTCAAAGGGGGGGGAGGGATCAAGACTGGTGCCCTAGATCCCCTAGGTTGATTTAGCTGCTGCTGCTGCTAATTAGGAGCCTTCAGTCTGTTCAGAGGATGAGCCCTTTAATCCAGGTGGAGCCTGAGATTTGCGAGCTGTGTCACGCTTGGAGCTTGCTTTAGAGGGACACGAGGAGTTGTGGGTATCTGCTCCGAAGAGGTTGCGGCTACGAGCTGCTCGTACGAGATGGTGATAACCTTGGGGATGAAGCTAATCCTAAACTTTCCTGACTTCAGGATATGAAAAATCGGCAGTTTCTGGTGTTTTGGGAATGGAACAGGGAACTCCGTGTATATGTTTTATCACTAGCAGATGTGTCTGAAAATTGAAACGTAACCTCTCTTTCTTGAAAGGTCTTTGAAGGAAACCGCCCAACCAATTCCATTGTCTTTACTAAACTTACTCCATTCATTCTTGGAGCCTTAATTGGTAAGTTTTTCCTCTTCCCTATTTTTGTTTCTTGACTTAAATATATTGTCTCAAAAGACATTATTAATACTGCTCTCATTGAAAATCTTTTTTTTCAGCAATGTATGAACACAAGATCTTTGTTCAAGGAATTGTGTGGGATATTAATAGCTATGACCAGTGGGGGTAAGTGTCCTACCATATACAAATTCCTAGTTTGTTTCCACTCACTAAGAGTGTATCCGTTGCTTTCCTGGGAGTTAAAATCTCCTTACTTAGTTCAATTTGTCTGCCCATCTCAAGTGATTCTGGACAACGAGCAGTTATAAAATCAATTAACGCACTGCGTTCCGTACAAGGCAGAATGAATTTAAGCTGCCTTGTTTGGAGAAAAAGAATTTAATCGGGGCCCATTTCACAGGGCCTTTTTACTTATTGAAAACACACACATCATGGCCACAAAACCTGTTTTTGGTACATTTTCTCTCAGTTTAGCCTATTGAATGACCCAGTCAATTGGATTGGATTCAAATCTTTCCTCAACATTTCAGAAGTTAGTTGGGTAACTTTTTACCATTTAACGTTTGCGTAGTCATGGACTTGGTTTTTGTGCTGTAGACATTTGTGACAGTGTGCTAAGCCATAAATTGTGGTTGGATTCCCACAACAAACATGTTTCAGTGTGGTTTTGACATCAGGCCGTGTTTCAGCCCAGTTGTGCTCAGCTATATTACAAGAGGATTTTGAAACAATTGGGGATGGTGAGAATAGGAATGTGGCGCACATAGGAATGTGTTTTAAAGCTTTCACTCTGGAGCCTGAATTTCCCCTCTCTTCCTTTCTTAAGTGTGGAGCTTGGAAAACAACTGGCCAAGAAAATTGAGCCTGAACTGGCATCGGATGCACCAGTCACCTCCCACGATGCCTCCACTAACGGGTTGATCGCCTTCATCAAGAAGAACCGAGCCTGACCGCAACAGGCTGCCTGGCAGATGCCCAGATCACCGTTGTAGCTGCTGCTTTGTTAGCCACTTCCCAGGCCAGACCTCTCAACAGTTCTGGCCTCATTGTTCCTAATGGTTAGCTTTGTTGTGTCGGAAGCAGTGTTCGCAAAGGAATCCTGGGGAAAAACCTGACCCCAGTGACTGTTTCATGGCAACTGTGATGTGTAGAGCGCCGCATCCCTCCTGTGTCCGTCCCCGTGCCTAGTCCTGCTGTGGATGGGAGCAGCCTGTAGGTGGTGATTAAACCTTTGCCATGTTGTCTTGTGAAGACCCAGCCTTACCTGCACAGAAATAAACCAGAATTAATCCTCACATTTCTCTGTCCTTCCTTATTTGGACTGTAAATTCTCTTGGTCTGTGTACAGAGGGACTCGAGCATCCTGAGGCCCTGGACAGTTAGATTTTTCATCCTCAGTAAAAAGGCTTCAAACTACCTCCAGACTTCCGGTCCAGAGATCCACAGCAGTCTCCTTATTTGAGCACTTCTGAGTCTCTTTGATGAGTGTCTCCTATTAAGTCCATTTTGACATCAGAAGTCATCACGAGGGGAAAAAATGCTGTCAGTTGAGGTTTGTAACACAAATCCAAAAATATTCAGAGGTTTCCTGGAAAGAAGGGGGCATCTTGAAGGATTGCAGACCCTCCCTGTGCCCCTCCCCCCCCCTTGTTCTCTCTTCTCTGGTTCTGCCCTTTAAGAAAAGATTGAGAATGCCTAATGGTCCGCAGACCAGGTTGGGGGCATCAAATTCCATCTCTCTTAATTTCCAGAGAGCCACTTTGTCAAAAAAGAACGATTAAAACGAGTTGAAGTCCACAAGTCTTAAAATTGCCAAGTTTGAAGACCTCTGTTTAGTCTATGAAATACACCTCACACATCTTTTGCGAAGATCACCAGAGGAGGGGGGCCCAGAGGGATGGAGATCGGGGTAGGGAAATTAGCTACAGTTGGTATATCTGAGATGGGGTGGATAGCAGAAGGCCATGCGCTCTTCTCAAACTTACAGGAGAACACATTCAGGTGGCCTGCCAGTTATTCCTCTGCAAGAAGGGAGTGAATGTCACCTGTAGCCAATGGTGTTCTTCAGGCTTCTCCAGTTGCAGGTTCATTAGCAAAGGGCTGGGTTATTTTAGGGTCTGCTTACATCTGCTTGTCCCATCAGATGCAGCACGAGGAATGCAGCTTGTCAGGGAAAGACACCAGGCAAGGGAGCAGTCTCTCTTGTGGTGCCCGCCTTGTGGAAATTCACACACACACACACATCCCAGGGAGTTAAGTGTCCCTACTTATTTTCTGGCTGAGGAATTCTGGGAGTTGAAGGCCACAAGTCTTAAAGTTGCCAAGTTTGGGGACCTCTGTCATAAAGGGTCTCTGCCTGATCTTAGGCATTTTGCACTTTTTGCATTTCTGATGGGTTTTTTTTGACGTGCTAATTGTTTTACATTTTTGTCTGTATGCTGCCCAGCGTAACTTCTCGTGAGCTGGGCAACGTATTAAACAGACGGACACTGGAAACAACCTGCCTCCATACAAGATTCATCATAAAAGCTAAAGCCAGACGATCTTCGTCACAAATGGCAAAAACAGCTGTTTTCCGCATCCATGAATCTAAGTAATTCCTGTCACACTGGAGTTCCCAACCCCTGAGTTGCAGCCCACTACTAAGGCTTTGAGCCGTTCAAAACTGGGACGTGGAAGTGCCAAAAGAGCACGCAGGTGCACATCCCCACTTGTGTGAGCAGTGGGTGCGCCTGCGATTGGAGCTGTGCGCCCATTTGCCCACCACTGTGTGTAACCATCCCCTCTCCCCGGCCATCCGGTCTGCAAAGCCAGAAAGGATGGGGAACTCCCCTGCAACATATATGGTGACATAAGAACTAAGGCGGCCGTGGCATATTATAGGCCATACAAATCCAATCAATCAATCAAATAAACTGCTTTAACACCAAGTTAGAAGTGCTAAAGAACTTGTTCAGAAAGGAGCGAAATTAATCTTGTATCTTAAAGATCTCCTCTAGATGTTCTCTCTTCAGCCTCCCCTATCACATCCAACTGAGATTTGCAAAAATGCCTTGCAATCTCCCATGAAGCTGCTGCTTGAGGTTTGTAGAGGATTTTACTTTTCTGGGATCGCTTGGGGTTTCCGGGCTGAAGTGATTAAAGCAAATATTTAGGTTTATTCAAAGAAGCATAAAATATTTATTAGGAAAATTTATATGGCTACCCAACTAATTCCCTGTGACAGAAGATAACAAGTCTAAGCAATGTTTGTATGCTGTCATGTAACACGTGCGTTGTTCTTACATCCATTTTTTTTGGTAGGTAATGCACTATAAAATCAAGAAGAAACTACAAAATGTCTTTATTGAAAAAAAGCAGATTATAACATCTAAGGTTAAATGAAATTCTGACTTTTAATATTAAAATAACTTAGGATAATAGTAAGTAGTTTTTTTAGATAAATAAATCTATATTTCCCAACATTTATTCTTCAACAATCATAGAAACCAAACGGTAACACAAAAACTCTGACAAGTTTATGAACTAAAAGTGACATTTTAGAAAGATATATACAAACATGGTTAAACTAGTATGTTTGCAGATGTAAACTAGACACATAATATACAAATTGGCCATTTTTTTTATTTCCTACAAAAGAAAAATTAACATTGGTCCAAGTTCTTGGAAATAAAACCTATATTCTTTTAAAGAAAATGCAAATATTTCTCAAGAAACAAACTTAATTTAAGTCAAATTATATACTCTAGTTATGGCATTAGTTGAATCACAAGAGTTTAATGGGGGCTAAGAAAAGATTCATCATCTGTACTTTTGGTTTAACTCAATGGAACTCCCATCAATTTTTTAAATTTCTCAATTATAAGACCCACTTACTTTGAAACAAATATTTCCCCATCCTTAAATCTCTAGATCTCCTTTGGAATCTTAGGCTATGGGGCAGGATGGGTCTTCCAAATATTTACTTTTCGTTAAGTGCATCTATCTCGGGTTCCTCGCTCGTGCGCATAGGAATAGGTGAAAAGGAAGGAAGGAAGGAGGCTCTCCCATAAATAATATTTTGGCACAAATGTTAAAAGCACTTCATCCCTGTGGAGCCAAATTCTCTGAAGGAAACGGAGAGCTGGCCCCGAACTCCCAGTGTTGGCCTGCAGCTTCCCCCCTCCGGCGTCCCTTGGTGTAGCACCCCTTGTCCTTGGGCTGGAGAACCTCCTGCCGAGGAGGAAGGCTGGCAGGCAGCTTCCCGGGGCAGTGCTGGTGGGTAAGGGCCCTTCCTCCAGACTGCGTTCAGCGAAAGAGGCCCGTGGGCAAAGCAACCAGGCTTCTTTCTATGGAGCAGGGCCAGCCCAGCCCTCCAGGGGCCCTGGGTGCCACAGTTCAGCCACCACGGATGGGAGGTAGCATGTTTCACATTTTTTTGCAGAATCTTTTTTGTTGTTGCTGTAGGACACTTTCTAGCTGCATTCTCTTTAAAGACTATATTTTTTAAATGAAAAAAGGCATTGAAAGAAAGAGACCTCTTCAGATTTGTGATCAGATTTTGGCAATGGGGGGAGAAGACAAAAATAAAAACAGCAAAATGTTTACGAAGGAAATCACCAGGTTAAGTATCTAAAAAAGGTAATCCCCTGAAATATTTTCGACAAATGAAATGAATAGCCTGGCATGTTTGAAAAATAGCAGCCCGTGTACATATTTTGGCTGTTAGGCTTATTTGTGGAAGATTAAGGCAGTAGTAGAAACGGACAAGCGTGACAGTAAAATAATCAAGATGCCATAAAACTCAACAGCGAAAGAATGAGAGGCACTTTCCAAGAAGGAACCATCTGCAAGAGGAAAAAGGTGGAACCTTTGCAGGAAAATCGAAGGAATTAGTGTGACTTTCTAGAAACTTCAAAACCCGAAAAAGGCCAACAGGACCATCTGGACCAACCTTAAAAGGGCTGATCTGATGGGACGGGGACGGGGGCTTTGAGCTGCTTACATTCCTCTTGCACTGACTCGCCTGATTCTTCCCTGCTCCTCTCAGCCCTTCAGACTTGGGAAAACGGTCCTGCTGCAGCTGACAGGACTATCGGGACAGTCTGGGGGAAGTCAGGATGGCTGTTCTGTCGCGAGGGGCCTTTTTTGCAGTTTTTCAAACAGATTTAGGCGTGTATTTCCATCTGATTCCCAAAGCGAACTTTCACTGAAGTTGCTGGAGCACCACCAGCTTTCAGCTTATGAAGGGCTGGTCCAGGTGGTTTTATCCGAAGGAGCTGAGCTAAAACAGTTTCAAGGTCAATGTATGCAAGGAATTAATACAACATGGCTGAGCCTGAAGCGCATAATTGATGTGGTCAGCTTTAATTACATTAACGGCACCTCCTTGTCTCGAAATGATCAAAACTTAGCTTATTTTTTAATAGAAAAAGTAAACATTTTCCATATGGAACACAGATTTTCCCAGAGTTGGAAATGTGCTTTAAAAGTTTAGCCAAAATAGAAGTGTAGGACTTCTAACACGTAACACATTATTTCTTTTATGTTTTAATTTTTGCTAATTAAAAAAACCTCCTCTATGCTCCAAATTAGGTATTTCCCTGCTGTACATCTGAGCCAATTTCTTTACATCCAAATGCCTAGAAAAAAAAGACTATGGTTTCCTGAGACTTTTAAAAACTGTTCAACTGTTTTGTGACCTACCTAAAAATTCTTTGCATGGTCAAGAGGCCATGGAAATCATCATGCAAGTGCTGTGGATTCAAGTATCATTAGCTTGGCCTTTAAAGCTGGGTTATAGCCAAGTTGTAAAAAACAAGCAACTGTTTTTTTAAAAATACCTCCAGAAGTAGTATCGCTATACTTGCAAGTCATAGCACAGAACTGCCGTCCCTTAAACCGAAAGCGAGGGAACGGTGTGTTGTACATTTGCAGGGGTCAGGATCTCTTCAGGTGGTGACAGTGGGGTGGCAAGAGTCAAGACAGTGGCCACCACCATGCAGCTGAAATCAACCTTTTTATCTGTTTGATCCTTCCTGCAGGCAGCTCCAAGTGAAGCTATTTAAGTCAGTTTCAAAACAGTGACTTTGAGAAGTGCCAAGTGATGTTGGAGGATCCTTCTTTACCAGAGAACCTGTTTCTTTGCCTGCAGCACAGGATCCACTTTCCTTGTACTGGGGAAGAGAGAGCAACTAGCAGAGCTTCTGCAGGCAACCCCAGTGGACCTGGGCCCTGGCAGGTTCTGCTGTTGTTTGGGCAGAATCGGTTCTGGGCGCCGGGCGGCCTCTGAACTTTGGGGTGCTGGGAAGACTGCCTTCAAAAATATAAGTGGTGGCAGGTCCAAAGAAATGGATGGGACAGAAGCTCAATTTGGCTGAATTCAAATCTGAATTAAATTTAATGAATAATCTCGTATCACTTGTATGTAATTTTCCCGTTCTGACGCATTCACATGTCTGCTGCAGAAGAATTCTAAGAAAAAAAACCTCTGGGTTGGGAATGGAGCAGTCTGTGCTCTTTCCCTCCGCCTGCAACGCGGCTTTCAGCAAGGATCTCCTGCAGACAGTTGCTGCCTGTTGGATCCCCCAAAGCTACGGTGAGGTAACCGGTCTTCCTGGTGAGCCTGCAGCTCTCCCCTTAGCTGGAAACACCAAACCCCCACGTCCTCGCCAAACCCCTAACAACCGTGCCTGACACAGCCTGACATGGGAATGCTCTCTGTCCTTTCATTCATGGGCTTCCAGCACACGGTGTCTTGTGTACTCTTGTTTTGCAGAAAAACCCAACAAAAGGCCACCCACTCACAGGTATCCCCTACAAAGTTGCTTCTTTTTTAAGTCACATTCAATTTGGCCATCACCCTTTTGACGCATGCAACCGCCACCGTGTCTCTCAGAGCCTGAGAACCACAAGGTCAGAGGGTGCAAGAGACTTAAAACATGGTGGAAATCTTTTGGTCTCTTTCCTGTTGGAAAGCTAATGCTTCTTCTGGGAGCTCAAATACTCAACCGTAAAAATGGCAACAAGCCAGCATTCATGGGTGGGCCAGTCATCCCAACAGCTCTGACATCCTGGCCTTTCCCCATCCAATCCATGGGCTGCATGACTTTTCAAGTACCAGCATCGTGGAAAGAATCACTCAGGCAAATTGTACACAGAGCCAACCCAGGAGGGGGCCCTTCCTTTCCAATCTCAGGAGCAATAAATAATGGCAGCTGCTTTGTCTTTCTTGTGTTGAGCCCTTCCCCAGCAGGTGTCTTCCTCCTGGCCTTGAGCAGAGGGGAAGCGGGAGGCTCAGAGCTCCGTGATATGCATGGGGTACCCGGAGGGAGAGTGCGCCGACACCTGAGTGCTCAAGCGCCTGATATGACAGGTGTGGCAGAGCAGGTGTCTCTCCAGTGGATAGCATCGGCGGCCCTCCTCATCATTCAGCTGGAGTCCACAATCCTAAGAGAAAGAAGGGCAGCCTGTCAACTCATGAAATATTTCTATGCTCTTTTTAGAGCTGCCAACAGAAAGGGGGGGGGGGGGGGCAGTGCAGCAGCTTGCGAACCGAAACTGCATTCCATAAATGTTTTCAGAGATAGTAACTAGGTGACCAAAGTTTCTGCCGTGACTCTGGGCTATGGATGTGTCCCATTGGAGAATATGAATTATGATACACCTGGGGAGCGGGGTGGGGTGGGGAAACCAGGGTCAAGGGTGACAATGAATGATGTGCCTCAGAGTCGGCTAGCTGTCAGGGCTCCGCCAGTTACCCCCATTTAAATCACGAATCATAAATCATAAACTCTTCTTTAAGCTTTGGAAGGTGGCTCAAGACTCATGATTTAAATGGGGGTAACTGCTGGATCCCTGACACAGCCATCTGTTAGTGGCCAGTGGACTTAGGATGCCTGGAGTAAGCTTCAGGGAGACACAACAATGAGTACAGATTCCTATGGAGATTCTCAAGTCATCCAGCATAGCAGGAATATGCTGCCACCCACCCCTTTGAATGGGTTACTTTTCCTGGAGGGAGGATGTGTCCTATACTGCTCCCTCCCTCCAACTGGGCTGCCTTAGCGGCTCGTAAGGTTTACCTCGCAGTGGTAACACTCCACGTGGTAGTCCCTGTCCATTGACACCACCCGGATGGTCTCTTCAGAACCCTGGTTGGACGGAGAGCAAAAAAAGGGTGAACATTGGGGACATGCCCATCACTGGCTTTCAAGGTACTTTGAAGCCTCCCTCGGGAACTATATAAATCCCTGCTTGTTACGTAAGTGTCACAATGAAACGTCTTCCATTTCCCAAATATTTGACTTCCTTCCTTGCAAAATTAAGAGCAGAAATTATGGTTCCTGAAGATAGCAAGAGCATTTAGACTTATATACCGCTTCACAGGGCTTTCCAACCCCCTCTAAGTGGTTTACAGAGTCAGCCTCTTGCCCCCAACAATCCGGGTCCTCATTTTACTGACCTTGGAAGGAGGGAAGGTGGAGTCAACTTTGAGCCTGGTGAGACTTGAACTGCTGAACTACAGCCAGCAGAAGTAGCCTGCAGTACTGCATTCTAACCACTGTGCTACCACGGCTCATATACTTTCTCTGCCAAATTTGGGCTTGGTTCTATATCTATGGTAAGAAAGACAGGAGCCCGTATCCACAGAGTAGAGAAAGAAAGACTTTTGGAATCTCATATAGATCAGACATTGAGAACTGCTGAGCCTGCCCACTCAAGAGGGCAGGTGGGTCCCTTGGGACGGCTTCGGCATCTGCCAACACAGCTGACTGGGTCAATGCGTGGTGGAAACCAAGCCGGTGACCTTTCCTGTGCCAGAGAAGGCAAAGTGCCTGCAGCAAATGGCTCAGTTTAGTGGGCGTGGAAAGTCTTTCCAGCAGCCTGTACCCCAAAAAAGGTACCTCTTTGATATATACTGTATGAGCATTATGGGTGTATATGAGAAAGTGAGATAGTTAGAGTGAGAGTGCTGATGGATGATAGATAGATAGATAGATAGATAGATAGATAGATAGATAGATAGAT